AGGGCATTGGCAACGACCCACGCAACCTCTAATGATGAGACATCCACCTTGGTCGGTTGATTGAGGCGCTTGGCGTCGAGGTAGCTGCGCAGATCGCCCGCGTCCATGTACTCGAGAATGAGCTTGGGATTTGGGGCCTTGGTGACTGCGAGAAGCTCCAGCACATAGGGCGAGCGACACCTAGTCCACAATAACAGGTTGAAAATAAGAAATGAGAAAATGAAAATGAAAAATGACGTACAGGAGCATCGTCTTTGTCTCGTCGAGAAGAGTCGCCGCACCGTCGGGCCCAACTGCTGTCTTGATGGCAACCGAGCGACCGTTGTACGTGCCTTTGTACACGGCGCCATAGCCGCCAACACCGAGCGGCGCATCGACGTCCATGGTGTAGGCGTCCGACGACACCTGATTTGAGAGTTCACACATCCTTGTCATTGCGATCGAGGGTTTGAGTGTACCTCGGGCTTCAACGCATGCGAAGCAGCATGTAAAAGGCTTGTCAAGCGGCGATTCCCGGCTTGGATCGCCAGTGTCATTGGCGTCACGCCCGCCTGCCGAGACGGAGGTCATCGATATCTCGGATGAAGTCAATGTACCGCATTGCGGATCTCCATCTGCAGACCTGGCGTCCGCACAAGTGCCGTCAAGAAAGCGTGGTCGTTGCCCTGCACCGCAAGATGCAAGAGCGAGTCGCCCGCCTAGCAATATGTTCTTAGCGTCTACTATACAACTAGAAAACTCGAACCTTGTTTGTGGTGTTGGGGCTCAAGCCATTGGCAAGAAGCGTTAGCACCCGATCGTACTGTTGCGTGCTCACAGCGTCGACAAGCTAGCCGTCAAATGACAAAAATGGTGAGTATGGACCAATCAAGTCCATCGAGGCATCGTGATTACCTCATTTTTGGCCTCATTTTCTGCATTCTTCAAGGCGGCTAGAACGCGTGGGTGCGTTGCCAGTGTCAGTGGCGTGTCGCCAGTCTAGAGATATTGTCACGGTAGAGGTATCGTCGCATGTAGTAGTATTAACCGTACCGTTGTCGTCGCAAAGGTGTTGGCCTTGGCGTCAACGAGGTACTCGACGACGCTCGCATGACCCTTGGCCGCCGCGACGTGCAGCGGCGTGTGTCCCCTCTAGGTTTATTGAACATAGGCTATAGACGATATTCTCTACTGACAATCAAGTTACCTCATCACAGGCCTCCACGTCGCTGCAAAGCGATAGCACTTGGTCGAGGACATTCTTCTTCCCACTGAGAGCGGCCGCGTGCAGCAGCGTCGAGCCGTCCTAGAATCCGATACTCCGTTCATTCGTTTCGCTGAGTCCACTAACTCTACCTTGGTCACCACGTGGTGTGTACTGGCGCTGGCGTGTAGAAGTGCCTTGACAGTGTCGGCGTGCCCATTCGCAGCCGCGACAAAAAGGGGGGATTCGCCGGCCTACACCCGACACCAAGGACGTATCGCAATGCGATATATAGTGGTGTGAGTAGGCTCGTACGTCGTTGGTGGCGTCGATGCAGCTCTCGCCCTTCACGGCGACGTCCACAGTTGTATTGTCCTTCTGTATCGCATTGAAGATAGTATGTTGCGTAGGTGTTGGTGAGCGTACCTGGTCGCTACGACCAAGCAGGGACTGGACGTGGTTTAGCAGCGTGTAGACCAAAGCAGTGTGGCCGCTCGCAGCCGCCAGGTGCAGCGCCGTCTCGCCTTGCTACAGAGGTTGACAGCCGGCGATGCGACGCGCAGTGTACCTCGTTGGTGGTCGCAGGATTTACGCCGTGATCCAGTAGCACTTCGACCACTCCTTTGTTGCGGTTTAAAGTTGCGTGGCGCAAGACAGCTGCCAGAAGGGGCATCTGGGCGTGCACGGTGGTCTATAATAACATTGAAAATGACCGATACGAGGCCAAAACGTGTACCTTGCTCACAGCCCCAAGCTGCGCGTTCAAGTCCAGAAGCGCGTACGTTGCCTCAACACTGCGTGTGGGAAGCACAATGGCCAGAGCTGTCATCCCCGTCTATTTCACCTTAGCAAAAAGGACCAAATACGATCATGATGTATACCGCGTCGGTCGCGTCGACCTCGAGGTTGGGTCGCTCGAGCATAGTTTCAAGCAGCCGAAAGTTTTGCGTCGCCAGTACCAGATGCAGCAAAGGCGTCTTATCCTACAACGAAATATAGAAATGAATCAAACAAAAGCGTAGCAGGAAGTGGCAAGTACCCTGTCCCGATGGTTGACGTTGATGTTATCTTTCTCAAGGATCTTGCTCGCACTCACGATGCGCTTGCAGCGCAAAGCGGCCACGAGCTAATTAGAATACGAGAATTGAAGTAGCCTACTCGTCGCAAATTTACCTTTAGCGTCTCGGGATGCTTGCGCAAAAGGTCTTCAACATCGACACATCCTCTTTCGTGCGCGAGCAAAAGCGGTGTTTGGTGCCACTACATGACAACATGAGGAATAGTGAGACGCAACGTGAAAATATACGTTGTTTTCGACTTTGAGATTCGCGCCGTACGCCAAGAGAAGCCGCACGACCTCGACGTGATTGTATTTTGAGGCGTAGTGCAGTGGCGTCTCGAGGTCCTACGCCCATGCAACATTTTGAGAGGGAGGCGACACCGTCACCAATACTACCTTGGTTTTGGCTTCAATAAAAGCGCGTTTTTGGAGCAAGCTGCGGACGATCGCGACATGTCCTTTGCTCGCTGCCAAATGCAGAGGGGTGGACCCATTCTACTCAGAGAGGATGCGTTGTACTGGGCGTGCGAGATGCGGAGATATCACTTAGTATACCGTGTCCTTGGCGCTCACGTCGACGCGTTTTTCGAGCAAAAGGCGGACAATGTCCCAGTGCCCATAGTTGGCGGCTGCATGCAGTGACGTGGAGCCGCTCTACTGCAATATATCAGTATCCACAACATAATTCGTGTACGACCTCGTTCGTGCAAGTGATGGGCACCCCGTCGTGGAGATAGGCTTGGACGGCAGCCGCGTTCCCAGCTGCTGCAGCGTCGAGAAGCGCACTCTACTCAGCCGCATGAGCATCATCGCGTGCTGTCGTCGTTGTCGTCGTCTTCGACCTGCTTCTCGTGCAACTCCTTCGTCGCCTTCGTCGGCCACATTGCCAAAGTGATTTGCGTCGTCAGGCACCCCGTTTTGATTGGCCAAGTTCCCTTCGCTTCCTTACAACCGGAC